GAACAGTTAAAAACAACCACAATGTCATCTGTGGCCACGTGTACAACCCTGTATGGTCTACACTGCACTTTCACTTCCACCATGTCATTAATTCCCACTACAGGCTGGTGCAAGGGTTATTACTGCACCTATTCCCCAGAAGAAACTCGGGCCCCCAAAGGGGAAGTGTCTCCTGGGGAGAATTTGGCAGAACAGGCACTTGAACTCAGATTCTCTGGTAGCCCCACCTCACGCCTGTCTCGCCCTGTGAAAGAGAACAGGGGGGCTGGAGATAGGAGGGGAGGGACAGACTTTCAGGGGCTGGGGGTTCAGGGAAGGCATCCAGGGAGAAGTGAGGTTTGCGTTTGGGTAGACAGGAAGGGAGGAGTCATTTGAAGCAAGGGCACAGTGACACGGGCCAGGAGGCCAGGACACGTGGAATAGGGAAACCGAGACACATAAACAGCCACGCAGTTTACAGCCCTCGGGTACCAGGAACACCCTCTGTCCCTGGTTCCCGTCGCTGTGCGCTCCACAAATGTCCACCCCCTCTTCCCAGATCTGCACTGAGGACTCCTGACTAATAGCGGGCTCCAGAAACAGGAAACACGCCTCTGCTCAGAGCAGGGCTTGGAGTCCGACCCATCTGGCTGTGGTTTGCCCAGGTCAGCAGGCTGGCCCGAGGGCTGGTTAGAATTTCCCCTCTTGGGGCTGCCTAGTGCTGACGGCTGCAAGCCTGCAGGGCACGGGACACTGTGTGGTCTGCTGTGTGGAAGGCCCCGCCGTCTGCCGTCTGCCGGGCCACCAGGGATCCAGGAGCTGCCCTCAGGGGAAGCTGGAATCCTAGGAGGTTCTGGCCCGGAGCTGTGTCCCCAGCCCCCTGGCAAGTGATACGGAACCTCTGTCAGCCCTCAGCTTCCATCACATGTGGCCACAGAGAGCAGCCACAGGGATGGGGTATCCACTAAACTTGCTTTCCTCGACAGGAGGGAGGCCGTAGTTTGTAGCAGAGGGCCTGGGGATCTGAACTTCTGCGAAGAGCGCAACATGCTTCTGGCTTTCTTATCATGAAATTCCTACAACTAGCCACATGTCTCTTTCCCTTTGGCCGCCAGAAAGCTCAGAAACAAATTAGAGGCTCGATGATATGAACTGACTTTATATTCCACACTTCGATGTTTCTTTTTTAAAAATATATTTTTATTTATTTCAGAGAGGAAAGGAGAGGAAGAGAGAGAGATAAAAACATCACTAGTGAGAGAGAATCATTGATCAGCTGCCTCCTGCACGCCCCACACTGGGGATCAAGCCTGCAACCCGGGCATGTGCCCTGACCAGGAATCAAACCATGACCTCCTAGTTCACAGGCCGGTGCTGAACCACTGAGCCAAGCTGGCTGGTCACACTTCGATGTTTCTTTCTCTAAGTCTGATAACCGTTTTCTGTTATTTCTCGTTTCCTGTTCTTGGCCTTGATTGAGCTCTTGCAATGCTCTTCCTGGGTCTGGGTCGTAGCTTCAACATTCACTAGTTATCTGATCAAGCTATTTAATCCCTCTGTGACTCAGTCCCTCGGGCGTAAAATGGGGGTAGTAACTAACCCTATTTCATAGGTGGGTAATGAAGATTAAATGGGAGAATACATCAAGGGCTTAGAGCAGCCCATGGTACAAAGTAAGCAATACACCTTAGCCTACTTTCCCACTTTTTTACTAGTACTGCACATGTGTTTGGTGTAAGCTGCCTTAAACCTTCTATGGAATATAGTGAAAGTAGAATATAGAAAAGCCTATAAAAAGAAAATTAGAAAAAAAGGTAATTTTCCACTATTTTCCCTCCGAAGAGTTGGCCTGATCAGAGAGAGATACTAAGAACAAGTGCTCCTGGTTATCGAATCCGCGTGTCAGGCATTAAACTGCCTACCTCACCACTTTGCCTTATTTCATTCTTACAAAAAACTCAAGATGTAGATCTTATGATTATACCCATTTTATTTATTTATTTATTTATTTATTTAATCCTCACCCGAGGATATTTTTTCCATTGATTTTTTTTTTTAGAGAGAGTGGAAGAAAGAGGGAAAGACAGAGAGAAATATCGATGTGAGAGAATCACATCGATTGGTTGCCTCCTGCATGAGCCCTGACCAGGGCCTGGACCAGGGAGGAGCCTGCAACCGAGGTAAGTGCCCTTGACCGGAATCAAACCCGGGACCTTCAGTCCACAGGCTGACGCTCTATCCACTGAGCCAAACCGGCTAGAGCTGGTTATACCCATTTTATAGATTTCAGAATCAGTAAGTGTCAGAGCCAGGATTCATACCCGGGTCACTATGGTGCACAAGCCATGTGTCTAACTTCTGCCCCTGTTGGTGCCTTTTGGGCCACATCAGCTGCCAATCACCTCTCTTCCTTAGCCTCAGTCTCTTCCTCTGTCAAATGGGGGTACTGGGTAAGTGTTTTTAAAACTGGTTTTCAGCAACAGAACCCTTTTCCTAATTAAAATCTCACTCAAAAGACGGACATAAAAGCACATAAAAGTAGACCTGTCCAATTGAAGTGAGACTGAGTTCAGAGACCTTCTCTGGGTCATACAGTCCTTGTGTTACATCCCACCGTCTCCTGGATATCATTAGAAGCTGCATTTACTTGTAGGAGGGCTTTTAGGGGACCCCTGAACCTGGGAGGGGATGCTCGAAGGGATTTCCGAAGTGATCTTTTCTTCACTTTCTCCCCCTGTCTGTCCCCACACCCTGCAGGAGATAACACATCTCATGTCTGGGGGCCTGGACTTCTGTGCAGCCGATTCCACCTAATTGGGCCCTTCCTCCTGGTCCATCTACCTCCCCATCATTGGCCTGAGTGAGCTGGGCCAGTCCCAGTAACTACGCAGACACAGCCAAGGCAGCCTCAGGAGGCAGGGGAACAATTCCTCCCACATCAATATTTATTGCCTGAGAGCTGCTGGAAGCAGATCATCATGTTCTCAGCCTTTGGTTCTTTTTTAAGAACCTCTCACCCCCTTCCCTCCCCGCTCTCCATCCCCAAGGTACTGACAGAATGAATGCAGACAGCCAGGCAAGTTCAAAGCCTGGGGACCAGGGTTTCGAGGCATCACAGACACAGACCTCTTAAAACCTAAATCTCTGCATCTCAGCAGCTTCAACTCAAGGCATCACGCATGCTCAGGAGCCAGGAGCACACACTAGGCTCCAGGGATCCAGCCTCAGCATCTTCCACAACGGAACACGATAAGCCAGTGACTTGCTCAAGGTCACCTGACTGACATGTGACTGAGCCCCGCATAGACAAATCTCTCCTACGGAATCCACCCTAAGGCCCAGTGGCCATTCTTTCTGTTCTATATTAAGACTCAACTTGGAGATTATTCATCACCAGCGACCAGGCTCCCCCTTTCCTCTATGATCACCCTCACTTCTAAGAACTCTTCCCCAGATTCTAGGAATTCTAGCTCATTCAAATTTTGACCTGAGCTAGGCAGAACCGGGAAGGGCCATCTGTGGTTCCAAGCTTTCCTTTTCCCCGAAACTGCTCCCTCTCCAGTGCGTGCCTCTCCTGACTCTGATCCAGCATCAGCACAGCCCTTCACTGTCCTGGGACCTCCCACAACAGAGCAGCACCCCTGGGTGTCTCCTGGACTCGTTCCCACGCCCCACCTCACAGCCAGCGCACTGGTTGCTCCCTGGGCCGATGCCATCGCTGCTGGCCCCTGTTGGCCGCTCCAGCAGCCTTTTTCTTGGGGCCCCACACATACACCCTGTGCTCCAGCAGCGGGATGAGGTGGGAAGGTTCCTAAAGAAGGCTGGTCTGGGCTCAGAGAGACTTGGGCTCAAATCCCAGCTTTTCTAGGCAGAGGCGTTTTCAGTCTTTGCTCCTAGGCCCAAACTTTCCTGCTCTGAGAACGAGGCGATATCATATATCACAGCAAAAGCATATTTAAATGCGCCAACCCGCCACATTAAGTAGAATTATTCTTGCTGCAAAAAAGTCAACATGTTTTTTTTATAAATGTCCCTTTAAAATTACAACTGCTTATCAACAACTGACTTAATTTATGCTTGTGATTTATCATCTATGACTTCCCTGTGAAATAATTATAGATGTGTATTATATTGTATATGTTATACATATGCAGGTCTCTGTCCCCGGTTCCTGACGCAGAGCTCCTAAAACGCTTGTAAACAGGCGTGCTAGGAGAACTGTTTGTTCTAATATTCAGTCTTTGGCCCTGGTTCTGGACACAGAGCTTCTAGGACAGTGGTTCTCAACCTTCCTAATGTCACAACCCTTTAATACAGTTCCTCATGTTGTGGTGACCCCCAACCATAAAATTATTTTCGTTGCTACTTCATAACTGTAATTTTGCTACTGTTATGAATCGTAATGTAAATATCTGATATGCAGGATGTATTTTCATTGTTACAAATTGAACATAATTAAAGCATAGTGATTAATCACAAAAACAATATGTAATTATATATGTGTTTTCCGATGGTCTTAGGCAACCCCTGTGAAAGGGTTGTTTGACCCCCAAAGGGGTCGCGACCCACAGGTTGAGAACTGCTGCCTTAAGCTATGGGATCTGATGCTATCTCCTGGTAGATAGAGTCAGAATGAAGTTAAGTTTTAGGACACCCGGAGGATGCCGCAGGGAATCTGGTCACAGAAGTACATGTGTGAGTAAAGGAGAAACACAGGAGTGCTATTCCTTTACACTCCCGTACTTGGGGAAAGAAAACAATGAATGCACAAAACTTCAGAGTATAATAAAATTTGTGATCTTGGGAAGGTCACTTCCATCTCTGGCCCTTGATCTCCTCAGCTGTGGGAGAGGCAGGAAATGCTCACTGCTCAGGGCTATTGGGGGGAGGCAGCGGAGCACAACAGGAGTGGCTTTGTAAGCTGTGTAGTGCCCAGGAGGGAGGAAGTTCAATGTTACATAGGAGGACACATCAGTGGGGGCTTGAGCCTGGACCAAGATGGAGACATAGAGGGAGCTTACTTTGCTGACAATTGCCAAGACCCTTCGCTGGAAGTGAAGCCCATCTTTCTCCTTGGCCATCTCCCTGGGGAAGAAGAAGTAGGGTATGGCAGCCAGGGCCACGGCGACAGCAGAGATGAGGAAGCCCAGCCACCAGGCACCCACCCATCGGGGGTCCTTCGAAGTCAAGTTGATACCACCTGGAAGAGAAGACCGTGGTGATATTAGGTTCAAGATGGACCTTCGATTCTTGGCCAACACCCTTGCACCGACCTCTGAGACATAAGGTTGCCTAGGAAGGAGTCAGGAGACCTGGATTATGATCCTGGCGCTGCCGTTTATGTCCTGCATGACTTTGGGCAAGTCCCTGACCATTTGTGGGCCTTGGGGTTTTCAACTACTAAAGCAACGTGTGTAATGGTCAAGGCCATGGACTGCTGGGTCTGAATTCCATTACTAACATAACTTTGGGCAAGTTACTTGAATAAATACATGTAAAAAGCACTTAGAATAGCACTTAGAATAGTATTGGCACACAGTATGTTCTATATAGGTGTTTGCACTTCTCCATTTTACTGTTACTATCATTATTATTATTAAACTAGAGGCCCAGTGCATGAAACTCGTGCATGGATAGGGTCCCTAGCAGCTGCCGGCTGCTGGCCCAGGCCTTCCTTCGTTCCACGCCGCCCCTGGTGGTCAGTGCTCGTCATAGCGAGTGATCAAACTCCCCAGGGGACACTTTGCATATTAGGTTTTTATATATAGAGAGAGAGATTGATGGTTAGGATTATTCTTGTGGTTCTCAGACATGCAAGATGATTAAAATCACCAGAGGTGCTTATCAAAAATACCTGGTCTTACCTAAAACTAACTTAGAAATATCATGGGGTGGGGTGGGAAGGTGACCAAGGAATCTGTACCTTTAACAAGTTCCCCAGGTGATTTTGATCTTCCACTAGATGTAATTAGGACTAGATTATCCCAAATATATCTCTTGTCTGCAGTGCCCACATCCTCCCATCAAACCTCTTGACCTCAAGGCTGAGTTAAGTCCCTCCTCTTTCAATTGCCACGGTATCTTCAAACACTTTATAATAACACTAGAGGCCTGATGCACGAAATTCGTGCAAGGGTAGGCCTTCCTTCCCCCAGCTGCTGGCACCAGCTTCCCTCTGGCACCCAGGACCCGGGCTTCCCTAGCAGCCCGGGCTTCGTCCGGAAGGTCATCCAGAAGGACATCCATTCTAATTAGCATATTACCCTTTATTATTACAGACGGATGCAGCCCCATGAGTCAGACTGGTTCCCAGGTAGCTGATCCCGAGCGCCTCCTGGGCAGAGGCCAGGGTACACAGTTGGCACTCAGCGAATGTATCTGTAAAGCTGGGAATGGAGTTGGCTTTAGCACTGATGCCCTCCTCCACTTATTATTCCCCCTGTTCCTGTGCCAGGCTGCTGAGAGTTCACACACGTAGCTCCCCAACTCCTCCACGTCTCACATACCAGTCTGTGCCTGCAGTGGACATGATCCACCCACCCCATGAAATTCCCCAGAGAGAAAGAAGGACTAGGAATTCACATCTGTCTTTGGAGGTGCCACATCTGCAGGATGATGCCAAAAGAGCTGGGGTGTGTCTTAGGAACCTAGGGAGGCCTGACTCCCATGAGTTATACTTCAAGAGAGAGAGAGCTGAGTGCAACCAGAGGTCCCACTTGGCTCCCAGGCCCAGTTTTCCAGCAGAAAGGGAGGGGTGGTGGGGCAGGGCGGGGCTGTCCTAGTGACTCTTGTTCAGAGCTGCCCAGACCTGTCCTGGCTGGAGACATCATTGAGCAGAACCAGAGAGCAAGAGCAGAATCTGCATGTCCACCTAATCCTACCTCTATCACCCGAGGCTTCTAGGGCTTCCTGGAAACTCTCCAGGTAAGGGACAGGACTTCTGAGCAGCAGAAGGCAAAAGGCATAGCTGGGGCTCAGAACTGCTTGGTGTGACAAGCAGGCAGCTGAGATGCCACAGTGACCTGTTCTAAAAGGAATGTTTTCCCACTCTCCACAGGGCACCAGAGCGTCAGGACCCCCAAAACTCCTCCCTCTTGGCTGCCTTCATATGGAGTTCCGGTCCCACCCCTTGGCCCCCTCTGACTACTACCTGCTGCCCTCAACACAGGTTCCCAAACTCTGAGGTGGTCAGAACTAGTGTTGCAGAGTAGGAAAATGTTTAGGCCTACTTAATTACCTAGCCACCTCAGCCGCTTGACAGCCTGTGCAAAGTTTCTAGGAACTGAGCTCACACACCTGAGCAACGGCCCACAAAGAACAAACAGATCAACACTCCTGAGCAACAGGCCCTCAAAGAACAAACAGATCAACACTCCTGAGCAACAGGCCCTCAAAGAACAAACAGATCAAAATTAAGAATAGTCCTGACCTTTAAGTTACCCAGAAGTGAATAACAGGAGGATGATGAATAGCGTGGCTAAAACTACGCAATGAGCTTTTGTAACTTGGCTTTGCTTGCTATGGGAACCTGAACACGGATGTAGTTGTCCCCTTTAAATATTGGACTCTGCAGATGGTCGGGGCCGCTTCTCTCTTGGGCTTCCCGAGTGGAGGAGCAGACACTGGCCAGTCAATAAAGGCTCTCTAAATCCTAATCAGTCTGGAGTTCTGGTCATTCTGTCGCTCGCACTCCACAACACTAGAAGGGTCCTTAGAGACCACCCAGTAAATTCATCGGAGAGAGGCCCAAGGGGACTGAGTCCTGCTCCAAGCATTTTCTCTGATGTGCCAGTGTCCTCTCTGCTTCACCTGGGTCTTCTCCCCCTAAAGATGGGAGCTCCCCACAGGCTAAGAGAGTATGCACCCCTGTCTGCCCACAGGGCTGGGGACCTGGGGGACTCAGGGATGGAACAGGGTGAAGACATGATAACAGTAACAACAATCATAGTCCCTTATCTGATGGCGCTTTACAGCTTATCTCCATCATCTCACTGGATTCTGATTGCACCTTTGGGAGGTGGACAGGACAGAGTCTATCTCAAAGATGAGAAAAGAGAGAGGTTAAGAAGCATGTCCAAGGTCAGTGGAATTGCTGGGATCTGCACCTGGACTGCCTGGCTCAGTGTCTCCTGGGAGACCAACGGTCAGTTAGCTAGCATCCCTGTGGCCCTGGGGACAGCTGTGTGCCCTTGGGGCTCACTTCTGGCATTCGGTCAATGTCCACATAAAGGCGCAGCATGAGGCCACCCAGCCCATAGGCCATGCTGACCCATCATCGTCACTGCAAACAGGATCCCTGCAACACAAAACCTCGGTTAGCCATCCTGACCCTGGCTTCCCCGCAGGGCAGTGCCACTGGGCAAAAGCAGCCTGTCTCCCCGGGTTGAGCCTGGGAAATGCCCAGGGCTACTCTGAACTTCCACTGGCCACATGGGACAGAGGCTGCCCCTCCGACCCCCCTCACCCCAGGCCTCTGGTCCTCCTACCTGGGCCTGGCCCGCCCTCAGAGCCCGAAGGGTGGTGCCACTCCTCACCGAGGTAAAGGGGAGAGTTGTTGCCATGCGCAAAGTCATCGATATAGGAGATGCCGAAGGGCTGGATGGGCACGCTGCCCACACCGAGCAGGGTCTGTGCCATGAACATTATTCCCACCGCGGCCAGGTGCTGGGCCTCCGTGTAGCCGGAACAGCTACTGCCATTGGAGGGGGTCGAGGCAGGGGCCGAGGTTGTGGTCAGGCACAGGGAAGCCTCGAAGTCCTGTGGCGCGTCCCCTGAGAGGTGAGAAAAATATTATGAGAATAGCTAAGACTTGTATACAGCACTTCCTGGGTGCAAGGTACTGATCTCAGCGCTTGTGTATTTCAATCACAACAAACCCCAGGGATGATTGCTCTCATTACCCTTAGTTCACAGGCGAGGAGACTGAGGCTCAGGCAGCAACTAGCAAGGGTGGGGTCAGGAGCCGAACCCAGGCAGCCCGGCTCTGAGTCCTTGCTCTTAAACCACCCTGTGCTACCTTTCTGAGCAGAGGTATGTGCTCTCGGGTGGGGTGGGGCTGTCAAAGGAGGTCGAGTTTGAACTGGGTTGAGATGAACAAACAAGAGTTTCCAGAAAAAGAACTTGGGGAGGGCTATTCCAGGTCAGTGTACATTGCAAACCCCGGGGCTTCGGAAGTTCAGCACTGCTGGCCCCAGAGTGTGAGGGGCAAGGCCGGGGCTGAAGGGAGGGCTGTCAGGTGAAGGGATGCGGGGGCTGGATTGTGGAGGGGTCTAGGACCCTTGGCCTTCATTCTGAAAAGGGCTCAGTGTTAGCTCGGGACACAGATGTAAAAGTGCAGTTAAAGGGCATTTCTTAATTTAGTACCAGATATTTGTTCCCTGGAACTAACCAATATTTGGTGAGCAAACGTAAGACCCTCATGCTATTATTATCCCAAAAATGGGTGCAGAAGTGGGCTTCCCTCTGCGGCCTGTCAGCCCTTTCCAGGAACTGGGGCTGAGGAAAAGCTGCATGACCAAGGTAACATCCAGACTTTCCATTTGTGGTGGGCAGACAGACAGACATGAGCAGAAGCGAAGGACAGTGAGCCAGCTACCGAAGGGTC